ATTAGTTTATTATTTATTTGGGCTAGAATTAGATGGGGAAATTAGTGTTTTATTTAAATATTCAAATATCCTTTGATATAATTTTTTTTTTAACTAAAACGTCACTTGATTTGAACTGGAGCAATATTATATTTATAATATTTAATTTAAACTATTATTAAATTTTATTATAAATAGTTTAAATTGTGAATGGAGAAAAACTCAATAACTTTTTAAAATTCATTATATATATATAATGCTATTTGAACACAAGACACCCACATATTTTAGGTGTTAAAATAGCAATGTTCTTGGAAGCTTAATATTGATTAAAACAGATTTGTAGCTTGAATTGGATCCAAGACAACATCCACGTGCATTAAATATATGTGGTAAAGTTAAAGAATGGAAGAGTACAGCGTTGCAGTTCAAACAAAGTCAACATTTCTTTGATCAAGTGCGCGAAATATAAGAAATGGAGAAGTTTATGCTAATTGTTGGCTATCAAGAAACTGTACCTACCTCTTCTTACAATTTTATTTATTCATTGATTCTTTTAGTTATGTTGTCTGTGAGAATTATTATTATTATTATTGAATCTCTTTGAATACTTTAAATGATATATAATCTAAAATTTAATCTAGCTTTTTGTGTATTTGTAAACCCTCTGTAAAATAATCAGGATGAACAGGCTTATATTAAAAATATATATTTCAGATTAAAGTTTGGAGTGCCCTGTAAAATATACTTGGAAAATAAAAATCTATTTATATATAAAACTAATTAACTGTTTTACTGGAAAATTTTGACTGTTTATGGCCAAATTTTGAATATAATCCTATTAATTTTAGGGTGAATCATGATAAGTATCATTGCCTTCTCTTTTTCTCTATGTCATTTATATAATTTTTTAGAAATAACTACCAAAGTTGAGAACACTTCTTAACTTGTTTTATTAAAAACATCTATAATTAATTTATTAAGTGATTCAAGATAACATCGTTCTTAGATATTTGCCTAACTCAACGTCTATTTTTTTTTTTTTAATTCTAACCCATCTAATCACTAACTATTTGTGAAATTTAATTATAAATTTTATTAACTTTAGTTCTTAAAATATTTTTTTAATAAAATTTTAGTATTATTAGCTATTTATCCTTAATCCTTAAGACTAACATTAACAAAATATTTTAATTATTTAATTCTTCTTCCTTTTTTTGTTTAGATACATTCATTTAAATATAAACAAATAAATAAATACACTTTTTAAGAATAATTCTATTCCTCGTAGTCATCTTTAGCATCATAAATAGCTAATTTTAAAATGTATTATAATTTTGTGTGGCTTCAAAAAATACAATAATGATTTTTCTTGAAGTTTCATAGTTAGTAACTGTAATTGTTTAAAATTAAGCACCTACCCGTTTCGATTGGTGGTAAAGGAATAGAATAAAATAAAATAGTGACACTTTAATTAAAAATAAGTTTTTTGAGTCGCTAAAATGTTAAATGAAACAGAATTATATACGATAAAATGGATTCTATCCATTTCATCTAAAATCTTCACTTTTTATTTTCCTAAATTAAGGGCTATGAGATAAAAAAATAGTTTTAATTAATCTTCTGATTATTAAATTATAACTGGATCCCCTCTTATACATGTATTAAATATTTTAACGTTAGAATAAGATTATGGGTAAATCTTAACTATTAACTTTCATCACAAGACGCTCACATACTTATTTATGAGTCTTAATTATTAACTGAGAATACCTTTCAAAGTCATCTTAAACAAAATTGTTTGAGTGTTAGTTCACTTTTTTTGGTTATGCCATGTAACTTTTCGTGCATAAATTATTTTATAATTTAATTTACATTTTTTATTTTTCATCATATAATTTTTAATTTTAAAATATTCTATTTCTTTAATTTAGCATTATTAATATTTATTATTAATAATTAAATTAATTTGAAGGATTTATAGAGCTTACAAAATTTTAAAGATATCTACAAATAAAATTTTAATGTAATAATATTTGTATGCTACAAAAATAAAATTAATTAGTGCGTGAATGTCAAAATAGCATTGTTCATTCATCTTTAGATCGCTTGTAATGCTTTCTAACATCAAAAGTTGGGTTTTAGATGAGTTGCCCACTTGCATAAAGATAAAATTTGATCAGCATGTTTGGAAGACCAGAAACATAAGAATTGTGTGAAGGAATTGGTCGAATGTTGTATGCATAAACTCCTGACAAAAGAATTACAGAAAAGGATAAGATTAATATTTTAAGCAATGACTAGTATCATACCTAAAATAAATAAAGAAATTTGAAAAGAAAAAAAAAAGATAAATGATATATATAGTTTACGTTGTTAATGGAAAAGGGTTATTGACATGCATGTTAACAGGTATAAGGAAGATAATTATGATAGTAATTGTGGTAAATATTTTCAAGAAATTTTCTTTAGCATTACTCTATATATTTCATTGTGTGTTCTTCCCAATTATGAAGGCGTAGGCATCGAGTCAATTTATATGTTTGACTTGCATCTTTAAAGGTCATTGTTAAGGGAATAAGATGCCCTACAGTTGAAAAATCAATTTGCATTCTTTTGGAGGTAACCATAATTTGTATTGATGGGCACCACCAGCCAAGTTGACACGCGCGCACGCACATTGCCATGCATATGTTTATGTCATGCTCATGCACCTCCATGCTTAATTGCCTATCATAACTTGTCTAAGGTTTAATTTGGTTTAGGAGGTCAACCTTTTAATTTTTCCCTTCGTGAAATGAAATGAACTACATCAATTAATAATTATGCGGCAATTAAGGTGCAAATGGTTATGATTTTCAAGAATTACCAAGTCATGAATAGTTCTTTGATTTTGTTTTTCAATTATTCTTGAAAGAGACAAGATTAAGATACTCCAGACCACATCTTTCGGTGTAGCGGAGAATGTTGTTTGTAGTGGTTGAGAAACTTCTACAATGTCAATGGTTCAAGAAAGCATTTGAGAAGAATGAAAAGTCTAATCCTTCGATCAAAGATTGAATTCATATCTACAAGGAGAGAAATATATGGTAAGAAAATTTGAAGTATAAGGAAAAAAATTCAGAACATAATAATTAATTTGAGAGTTAATGCATATGTTGGACCCTAAAAGTGACTCAGGTTACTTAAAATTTAATTAAACCTCTGAAGGATTAAATTATTTTCAAATTTGACTTAAGCTACTTATATTGTCACTTTAAGAGATTAAATTGTATATTAACACTTATTTTTAATTTTCAGTTGATATGCTATTATTAATAATTATAAAAATAACAATTTATTTGGTTAATATGTTAACTTAGAGTTCTACCTTTATTTTAATTTTTTGTTTTGATCATTTAACTTTTTATTTTCATTTAGAATACCCTAAACTGACTTTATCTCTTTTGCTGCTAACACTAATAAACAAGGTAAACTGTTGAATACCAAAATTAGAGGATTAGAACAAAAAAAAAATAGATAAGTTTATTACAGGAATTAATTAAATGGCGTTAATAAAAAAAATTACAATTCAAATGTGTGAGAGGATTAAATTGAAAGAAAAATATTAGAGAATCAAAGTGCAAAGTTGAATAAAATTAGAGAAATAAAATGCTAACTTTATCAAGTTTTATTTTTTCTAAATTTAGTGAAACATGAAAATAATATTGATCGAAAAATACTTTTAATGTAAGAAACATAATGCACATAAGATAGTTATTATTATCAATACAAATAACCACAAGAGAACATAAAAATAAACATTACCATAACTTTTTATATTTGACAATTTTTTCGTGACATTTCTTTTGTCACATTTTAAGGAGTAATCTAAAGTCTGGTTAGGTGAATTATTATATATAGGCAGGATTTTCTCATATTAGTATAAGTTTAATGCAAAATTTAAATTAAATGTAAAAAATTGTAAGCTTATATTAATATAAAAAATCATTTCTCATATATATATAGGTTCTCACATTTAAGGTGCATTGATTGCATTTGTGGATTTTTAATAAAAATATTAATTACACAAAATTTCATTTATTATTTTCAAAATGACAAAATGAAATATTATAAAAACAATTGGTGAGAAAGGTAAAAAAATAGAAAAATAAGATATTAAAAAAGGTGTCCATATATATATATATATATTATTTGCCTCATAAACAATAAAATTTGGGCGCAAAATAAGTTTGACGACAAACTTCTTCAGATACAATAAATACTTTTGAGAATAATTTGCACTTTTAAAATTTAAGCCATGGCATCGATTGTATTTATAAAATGATAATTTTAACTTTATCCAACGCGTAGCAAAATTAAATGCAAATGAATTTATGAATGAAATATAAATTAAGCGTGTTTTGTGCACGAAAACTTACCTTATTTATACACATTTATTGATCTATTTATGAAGAGTCATGTTAATTCATGTTAATTCAATTGATGTTATTTAATAAAGGTTACACTATTTTAAATGATATCTATTCAATGAATAGTTTCACTTCTTTATTTGGTATATTATATGAAAATTATTTTTATTTTAATTTATATATTTAATGAATAGATATCATTTTAATTATATTTATTCATGCACAAATAGTTGCATATTTCACTCAATACCAATTTATTTAAAGACTTACCTTTTAATTTACATATTTACGCCAATCTTTATATTAAATCAAGAGAACTTTTCAATATGAATCAAGAAATTTTTTTATTTAAATAAATTATTACAAGCTTTCATTTTAAACCAAGAAATACAACCCTTATTCATGTTTAATTTTGCTTTTTTAACAAAGTATTGCAATTTATTTTATTTTTTCAGAAAAGCTAGTTTCATTAGCATATATAATACCCAAAAGTCTCCGGCTCCCATGGTCAAAACCTGAAGAGAACCCAACCTTGGTGTGTATTTTAATCAGCTAGCGCCTGGGATTCAAGTTGGCCCAAGTTTAACTTGTCGCTGAGACCGAGAGAGAGAGAGAGAGAGGAGGCTATCCTTTGAAAATGGTGAATGAATGTAACTAAAGTTTCTTAGAGTACTTGTCATATGTGGTATGGACATGGCGGTAGATGTGTTTCCAAGGACAGCATCAAAATCCAGGAAGACACACTCTTTGTCTGTTGGTGGAAGAAGACAACACAAATGTGGACAAACACACACAAAAAGAAGGAAACGAAGTTTCCCAACCTTGGATTTCAGCTTCTGTTTGTGCTCTCCAATCATTTCCCTCCTCGTACATTTCCTCCTTGTTGGTTCTACCCTTTGTCTTGTTCATTCTTCTGAATTGGGTACCCACCCAATTGCCAATCAAACTTTTCGCCCAAACGAAGAGTTGAACAAATTAAAGACCATAAGAAACCGTCTTCAGCAAATCAATAAGCCTGCTGTTAAGACAATTCAGGTTTGTGAAAATTATGTACTTTTTTTCTTTCTTTCCAATATTCATTCACCTTGTTTTTTGGACCATGATTTATGCGCTTGTGACTTGTGTTTTGTTTTGTTATGTTGTGTTCCTTTTGGCAGAGTCCTGATGGTGATATAATAGACTGTGTGGTGTCTCATAAGCAACCAGCTTTTGATCATCCTCTACTCAAAGGACAGAAACCATTGGTATTTTTGTTTTTGGTTCATTGTTTGTTATGCGAAGCTTAATGTGATTTAGCTAAAATGTATGGAATTTTTATGCATGTGAATATATTCAGGATCCTCCGGAAAGACCAAGAGGTCATGACCAAATGGGTGATTTGAGTGAGAATTTTCAGTTGTGGAGCTTATATGGGGAATCATGTCCCGAAGGAACGATTCCAATTAGAAGAACAACAGAACAAGACATGTTAAGAGCTAGCTCTGTTAGCAGATTTGGAAGAAAAAATATAATTAGGCATGTCAGAAGGGACACCAGCAGCAATGGACATGAGGTATGAACTTCAGAGCTATCATCATAGAAAGCAACACAAACTCACATGCTCTTATCTCTCTTTTGTTTTTCTCTTTTTCTCAAACAAAGTAAAGTCAGAAATAAACAATCAACTGGACAGAAACCAATAAGGAAAATTGGTAAAGCAAGCATGTGTCAGTTGAATATTTCATTTTTCATCATATGCTATTGGAAGTTAATACAATTTAAACACTTCAAGCTCTCTTTTTACCCCTATTTTAAATGTGTTAGTCTTCCAAACTATGAAACTCAACATAGTGATGAACTTCTCTTTATCCTTCACAAAAACATAAACAATGTCTATCCTTTTTTTAAAAAATATGTATATTCTTTATTTGACCGTGAAACATCATCTTTTTTCTAATTTTAGATATGACAGAATTTTATGTTTTTCACACTCACTAAGTTAATTAATTTCACTTGCTCTTCTTTATGAGAAATTTTATTTTGTCCTAATATTGCAGTTTACAAATCTTCGTACTCACAAAAAAAAGTGGCGCATGCCCTCTAAAGAAAAAAAAAGTAAAAACTAATTAATATTTTTCAAATGACACGTCACGCTTTTTGTGAGTAAGAGGATCTATAGACTAAAATAGCAGAAGGATATAACATTTCCATTTATTTATTTATGTCTGTGCTCAAACAATCTTTATCTTGTATAGAAACACAATATAACTTTGAACTTGATTTCTTCTATGAATCTTATTGCATGCATCTTGAAAAAGATTATGAACTAACAAAGGGTTACAATTGCGGCACACTGCACAGCATGCGGTTGGCTATGTGACAGAAGATCAGTACTATGGAGCAAAGGCTAGCATAAACGTGTGGGCACCCCTTGTGGAAAACCAATATGAATTCAGCTTGTCTCAAATGTGGGTCATTTCTGGTTCATTTGGGGATGATCTCAACACCATTGAAGCTGGTTGGCAGGCATGTTAATGTCATTACTTCACCTTATTTAATTATTTCATTTACTTTGTACCATTGTTTTCCTCTTTCTCTATGTTTCAACATTTTTCTTAAATGCATTCTATTTGGTTACGCATTCAAAAGGCAGTTAGCATATTCAACTACCTACCTCTCATTTTCATACATGTATTTAATTTTGTATTTTAGCCAATCAAGCTAATTTCAAGTAATTTTCTATGCAGGTCAGCCCGGAGCTATATGGGGACAGCTACCCTAGATTCTTTACTTATTGGACGGTATGTAAATTTATTGAAGGAAAGGAGGTGGAAAAGTATTCTACGTATTATCATCTTTGCTTCATGTGCAAGATACCCAGTAATAAAATTTTTATTCAAAAGCAATAGTAATGATAATAAATAATTATTGTAGTAGTAATTGTTGTTGTCATTATTTTATCTGCAGACCGATGCATATCAAGCAACTGGGTGTTACAATTTACTGTGCTCAGGCTTTGTTCAAACCAACAGTAAAATTGCAATTGGAGCAGCAATCTCTCCAACTTCTTCATATAATGGTGGGCAATTTGATATTAGCTTGCTTATATGGAAGGTATTTTTCTGCTCACTTTACCAAATTGACCTTGGAAAATTTTGGAGAATAGGATAGATACATCTCTCTCCATGTTCCTTTTGTTGTTGTTTTTTGTTTTTTGTTTTGGTTACTTTTGTCTTTCTTTCTTCTTTTTCTTTTTACTATTTCTTTTAGACAGTTACAGGCAGTTTTTACTGTTGAGGAGGAAAGTTAAGGTTTGTCACACTAGTCATATAAAACTATTTAAGGATTCACGTTCTCGATTTACAGTAATCTCCTTGCAAGAAAATATATGTTTTACACAAGATCAACTTATGGGTCCCATCTATGAGATAAACATTTGATCTTGATGATAGGAGACTGACGTCTACCATTTGATTTGAATACTCTTTCAAGTCAAGCAAAATATATGCAAATCTCGTAGTCAAAGTCTTAAAGGAGCTTAAAACAATAAGGAAAATCTAAACTGAAAAGATGGTCAATGGTGGGGGCATGGGGCTCTCCACAATTTTGGAAGCCTCTTAATGCCATCGAATTTTGTTGTATAGATTATAAAAGAAGCAAAGGCAAGTTTCGTATAAAATTTGTTTAAAAAATTTTGAGTTTTTTTTATTTTTTATTCTTAACATTTCAATAAGTAATATGATTTTAATCATGAAAAATTAAAAATATGCTTTTTATAATATTTTAGAAACCAAAATTTATACAGACCAGAACAAAACCAAAAAAAAATCATATTTTTAACGACTAAAAAAATACTTAACCTATATTGACACGACAATAATTTAATTTAAAAATGTAAATCAATGACAGACAAAAAGGGAAAAACAAAATTATGGTGCAAAAGTTTTTCTTCAGTGTCCCGTCTTAGTTAATATGTGCACCACTTCACTCACTTTACTACTTTGGAAGATTACACGCGTGCACTGGGTGTATACGAATAATGTACTGTAACTCCTTATGCTTTACTCCTTTTAAGATTCTTTTCCTTTTTCCAATTAAAGAGCTTATATTTCTGAACTCATCGCCTTTTCTTCTCCTCTAATTTTCTATTAATTTGATTAAATCCCAACATTTTGAGTATTTCATTCACCACCTTTCTTGCTCCTCTTTTTGACCTGGCCAACATCAACATGTTGCTGTTAATAATAATTGTGTCTATGTTTGAGTAGCTTTGCTTGGTCATACTCCTTCGTTCATGTTTTTATTTATTTATTTACACTTTAACGATTTGGTTCTGATCACTTTTCATTATCATTTTATAGCATTCAAGAATAAGTAATGCTTTTTTTTACAATTTTATCCTTAATAATGATATTTATTTGAAGGTTTCCTTTGTTTCATTTTTTGGGCAGGATCCAAAGCATGGGAATTGGTGGCTGGAATTTGGATCTGGGATCCTAGTTGGTTACTGGCCATCCTTCCTGTTCAGCCACTTAGGGGATCATGCAAGTATGATACAATTTGGTGGAGAAATAGTGAATTCAGGGTCATCAGGGTCTCACACTTCCACCCAAATGGGTAGTGGACATTTTGCTGAGGAGGGTTTTGCAAAAGCTTCATATTTTAGGAATTTGCAAGTTGTGGATTGGGATAACAACTTGATTCCCTTGTCAAATCTCAGGGTTCTAGCAGATCACCCTAATTGTTATGACATACAAGGAGGGGTTAATAATGCTTGGGGGAATTATTTTTACTATGGTGGACCTGGCAGAAATGTAAAGTGTCCCTAAGGAAATTAATTAATGATATAGAATTATAGATAGAGGTGAACCCTCTTTTTTAGTCTTTCTTTTTGTCATTTATGGGTTTGGGTGATTTGGGTTTTCTTCTCTCTATCTCATTCACATGGGTCATTTATTCTTATATTTAAATTAAAGTTCTTATTTGTTGATTTTTTATTTTATTTTATTTTGACAAGCAGGTCATCTATTGAACAACCATTACCACCTCGACTCTTTGTATATCTTGAAAGAGAAATAGTAAAAATATTTTACCTTTTCTTGCTATCCCTTCCCTGCCCAAATCCTCCAACAGAACTCATGTACTTCCTCCTCAGAATCAGAATCCTTTTTCTGGATATATTTCAATTAGTTATAATGATACCTTCAAAGGTTTTCATATAATTTTCCATCGATGAATCTTGCAAACTACAATGTCAAGGACTAAGAAAATATTAGAATATAGAACCATACTATTTATTTTCCGTGTGCCTTTTTGATAAAAATGTTATATGATCTCTTAAAAAATGACTTCATAGATTTTAATTTTGACAATACTGATTGGTATGAATAACTTCTTGTGAAAATTATATCAATTACTTTTTACCCAAAGGGAAGATTTTGTTTAAAAGATGCAAAAAAATGTATTTAAGAGAGAAGTAAAAGGTTATTTGAAGAAAGAAAATTTTCACTTTCATGTATTTGACAAAAACAAATTTTGCACCAATTAATATTTTCCTTAATTTACATGCGACGCAGCTTTTTTGGGACATGTAATCAAACATGACAGGTCCCTATTGTATTTGGTATATGAAGGAAAAGTTATTAATATTTAATTGAAACTAAACACCAACTGAGTTTACGGCGGAAAGTTAAATTTTAATGTGGCATTTAATACATTAAACAAAGGTTGGGTATTAAATTATTTCAAGAGTAATTTGACAAATGTATTTTAATAATTTTTTATAAATATTAAAATTTATTAATTTAATACTTCTTCCCATCTTTTTAATAAAAAAATAAAATACTAAATCACTAAAATAAAAATAATAATTAAATCAGTTATACTATTATAAATATAAATTTTATTTAAAATATTTATGATATTAAATAATGTTGTTGATGATTTATATATTTAATGACACTAATTAAATAAAAGTATTAAAAAAATTAGCAATTAATATATCTCAACCTTTATCCTATATTTCTTAAGATTAAAAAAATATTATATTTTACTCCTTATAAAAAGAATTGGAGTAATTAAATTAAATTTCTTTACTATCCAGACATATATCAACTAGAAAAAGTTCTTTCAATTTAATCTATAATCTTAAATTTGAATATAATTGAAAAGAGATCTTTATCGTTTATAATAATTTTACTTGATTCAATAAGTTTAAGTTACTTTGGTGAAAGATACTTACAGTGTAGAATAAAAAATTAATTTATTTAAATATTAAATTTTAAAAAAATATAAAATATTATGTAAATTAAAAATTATTTATTTATTTATCAAATAACTTTATTTTAAAGGTTAGTATATAATTTTAAAATATAAATAAATATTAATTATATAATTATATAATTTTTAGCATCTAATTCATGTAAAACTTAATATACATTATCAATATAAACATATAATCTTATTCTAAGTTAAATTTAATAAGATTTAATATCTATAAAGAGTCATTAAATAAAATAACTCTTATCAAAATTAAAGTAATATTATATTGACACTCAATTTGAATGTTTATACTAAATACTTTATATAATTATAATATAACTGCTTTTTAATTTATATAGTGTCTAACGTATACATTTAAACTGAGTGTTAAAATAATATAATTTATTATTCGCAATAAATTATTAATAAATTTTTATAAAAACATAGCTAATTCATTCTCTTGTGTATATATTCTCTGTTAAACTTTAAAATACTAAAATTTTATCTTAATTTACATATAAAATAGAAATTAAAAACTAAAATAATAATTTAAATTTAAATATTTTATTTAATTTATTTAAAAAAATAATTAATGAAAAATATTTTTTTTATTTTATATTTTTATTTTCTTTTTCATACATAAATATTTATTTAAAATTACCTGCACTCAAAAAAATTATTTATTTTATTTTTCATACAAAAATATTTAGGCAAAATTATACTTTTCATCCCTTAACTTTAGGGTAAAATTTAATTTAATCCTCTAAGTTTTTTTTTGTTCAATTTAGTCTTCTAAATTTTATTTTTTTCCCATCTTAGTCATTTCTGTGACAATTGTTAGAGAATGTAACAGAAGCATCCTATGTGGCACTAACGGCCACTACCAGAAAAGCGCCATAGACGGCCATTTTTATCTGTCTGTAATACAGACGACTTTACAGACAAGTTTGTGGAATTATTTTTTTAAAATTTACTTAAAAATCTGCCGGTAATGGTCGTCTGTAGTTTGCCTACCATTTGGCGTGAAATAATATAGACAGGTTGTAATTTGAAAATGGGAGAGAAATTTGAAGCTGGAGTTACAGACGGAAAAATATGTCTATAAATATTGCCCTTTTTGACTGACTTTTCATCTAGCAATTTACAGACGAAGATCGTATGATGTATTTTATAGACTTAAAATTTCTAAGATAGAGTTGTAGGATTGAAGATTGTATGAAGGGCGTAGAGGTCCTTCTCTAAACTTGATTATTGCGTGCTGTGGGATTGTTTGTGTTTGTGAAGTTTGTAGAATATGCATGTTGTGGAGTTATAAGGGGATGTGCTCTAGAACGGTTTAGGATTGTGATGTATTTGTATTTTATGCGTCGATTAATATATTGTTATATAATATATTAGTTATGTGTGGTGAAATTTTGATTTTTGTAAAAAAATGGTAAACAAATGTAAGGAAATTGACATGTACTAGGAGAGATTCTGCCAAATTTTATATTAAAAATTTGTGTAATGTATAATAGAAGGTTGATACAATATTGTGTATTTGTATTAGGTTTATATAGTTCTTGATCCAGATGTTTCTCAGAAATCGTCAGTAGATGTATGATAGGTTGCACCCAAGTCGAGGGAAATAAAACCTGAATTCTTTGAGAGTGTTGAGGAATTCATACTTTTTTGTTGTAATTCACAGCAATTTATCACCAACCAAAAAGTTAAGTGTCCATGTTCTAAGTGCAAGTGTAGAAAGTTTTTGGATATTGATTCAATTAGATATGATTTGTATAAGTTTAGATTTAAACATGATTATTAGATATGGACTGAGCATGGGGAAGTAGTTAATGTGAAAAATCAAGTAGGCGATTCAAATATATTGCAATCAGGGGAGGATGTAGGTAATGTAAGTTGGGAAGAAAGCAATAGTCGTTATCAAGAAATGGTTTATGATGTTGTTGGTCCTACATTTGAAATTTTTTGTGATTTTGAAATTGAACAAGAACCTAATAGAGAGGCTGCAAAGTTTTATAATATTTTAGAAGCAGCAAACAAGTCTTTATGGGATGGGTGTGTGTATTCAGAGTTATCTTTAGCAGTAAGAATGTTAAGCATAAAGTCAAAAGACAATCAAAGTCAAAGTTCATTTGATCAATGGACTACATTAATTAGTAAGCTTAGTCCCTAACCTGACTCAATCCCAAAAGACTTTTACCAAGCAAAAAAATTAGTTTCCAAACTTGGATTAAAAGAAGTCAAAATTGATTGTTGTTTGAAAAGCTGCATGCTGTATTACAAAGATGATGTTGTTTTGACCAATTGCAAATTCTGTGGAGAGCCTAAGTTTAAACCAAGAAGAGGTGGTAGAAGTGGTAAACATAAAGATGTACCACAAACTAGAATGCATTATTTGCTTTTAATTCCTAGGCTAAAAGATTGTATGCGTCTATGAGTTCAACTCCTTACATGACGTGGCATGCTGAAAATAAAAGGAGTGATAGGATAATGACTTATCCATCTCATAGTGAGGCTTGACAACATTTTGATTAAGTGTATTCTGAGTTTGCATCTGATCCTAGAAATGTAAAGTTAGGATTATGTACTGATGGGTTCGCTCCAAATAATCAATTTAATAAACCATATTCTTGTTGACCTATTGTGGTTACACCTTTTAATCTTCCTCCCAAAATGAGCATGAAAAATCCATATTTATTCTTGACTTGTATAATTCCTGGTTCAAAAAATCCAAAGACTAAAATTGATGTATACCTTCAACCTTTGATTGATGAGTTGAAAGAGTTATGGTGTGAGGATGTAGACTTATGACCTATCAAGGAAGCAAAATTTGAATATGAAGGCAACACTGATGTGGACGATAAATGATTTTCCTACTTATGGAATGTTGTCTGGATGAATGACTCAAGGAAAATTAGCATGCCCAATTTGTATGGAGGATAGAAAGGCATTTTCTTTAAAACATGCAGGACCCTCCCATCCGTTTAAATGGTCATCAAGTATGAGATAAAGTTAAACACTTGCCAAAAATAATATAAGTAGGAAAATTCATTAGGTTTCCTAGTTATGAGATGACACATAATTAGACCAAACAAAGTATATTCTGGGAGCTCCAATATTGGAAGGATAACTTAGTTCGTCATTGTTTAGATGTGATGCATGTGAAAAAAAATGTATTTGATAATATGATGAATACTGTAATGGACACTAATCGAACTAAAGATAATGTAAAGGAAGGCAAGATTTAGAAGAATATTGTAGGCGTCCAGAATTGAGATGAAGTAGATGATGAAGATGCATATCAAATTGATGACTCAATCCCTTCACGTGTAATAATAGACACTATTGTCCCTCCAATTTTATCTTCTCTTTTGAATGAAATTGAAATAATTGACCCTCCTACCTAAGCTTCAAGAAATAATGAATGATGACATGACAAAGATAAAGAAGAAAGATTTATGGATGACATTTCATCGAGTGATGATGAAGGTAGTCTTGAACTATCACAGTAAATAAGGTAAATTAAGTAGGTTTGTCAATTTACTATGTTTCCATGATTATTTATTTTGAGTTATCACCAATATTAACCATATTTTATAAAGATTATGGTATTTGTCTCTAAACATATATTGTATTTGATTCAGATATGACAAGTAAAGGTAAGAATGGTGTTGCTCAGCGTCCTGATCATAGCAACACTTCTTCACCCACCCCTCCCACTTCAACCTCCACACCAGTTATAGTGCAAACCTCCCAGGTTAAGGGGCAGGAGCAATTTATCATTGTG